ACGCATTGATAAACCCTACCGTTTCATAAACCTATAACACCAACCTACTGTTCCTGCAAAGTTCTGTATCCCTCGTTGTTTTACTACTTTCCTGGCCTCATGAATTATCATTTTGGTAGAAACACTTCTTCCTGAATTTCTCTCATTTACCACTCACGTTTTTATGTCAACCTCAAGTTCTGGCCAATGTGGGGCTGGGTAACGATGGTTATGTTTACCTTTCCTTGTGCTCTTCAATTGGTTTTCTTGCTGTCGCCAGACACGTATCATTTTTTCCGTAGGTGGTGGCCCAAAAGCCCTTGCTGCTGCTCTATTGCCATGATCCTTGGCATAATCTACCACTTGTAATCTGTAGGAGATTGTGTAGCTCGATCTTTTTCCTCCTGCTACCATAACGTTTTTAAAGCACTGAAAAAAAGAATTTGAGTAAACCAAAAATGGAAATGTACACTATAAAGAGACAGGAAAACCCCAATGTAAAAACACTCACCGTTATTATTTTAATATTAGATTGATTTATCTTACTCTACAGTTCACCCAGGAAAAAATGTCAGAAGTTGGTTCACAAGTCTGCTAAATAGCCTACGTGCGCTCAATGCAAAGACTTTAAATAGATAGACGGAGCACGCGGTAGCATTCCCTATTGTTTGCTTGTAATTTGCCTCTATCTCTATCTTTGCTCACTGATTGGCCGTGCATTTTTCGAGTTGTTGACACAAGTTGGTCACTATATCAAGTTTCACAGTAAAGATAAAACGACGTGACGAAACCTTGTTTCTGAAGGGACAAGCTTTCACACTTTTAAGAGATAGACCTTCCATCCTTTAACAGGATGCTGAAAATTCCACTGCGTCTGGCCTATGCAAATTTCCTATTTCTTATTTCGTAGTTGGAATGCTGTACTGATCGTTGCTAGGATAGTGAGCGTTAGTGAGGTCTCAACTTCACATATTAGACGCAGGGCGATTTTTTGAGCCAAAATTTTGGGAAATAAGTGCGTCCTATATGCCGTCAAATACGGTAACTTTTTTTAGATGAAAAAACCTGAACAACTTGTATATCAAAACAAAACGTATATTAAATGAAATAGTCTCCATTCTTATCGATGATGCTTTTCCATCTTACAATCAGACTGTTAATTCCCTGATTGAATAAATCACTTGACTTTGAAGCAAAAAACATGTCGATGACTTCTTTAACACTTTCCATAAGTGCATACGTTTTCCCATTAAGATGATGTTTCAGAGGACAAAAAAGATGGGTGGGGGAGAACTTCCCAACCCAACTCCATAATCTTGTGTTCCATCAAACATGCCAAATGTCGATGTGCATTGTTGTGGAGAAAAAGAACACCTTTCCGAGTGATGGGTGTTTCTGATGAAGGGCTTGATTTAGACGTTCCAGTTGCTAGCTATAAACCTCTGCATTGACAGTTCGCTGTGGATTGAGGAGTACAAAATGAATTACTACTCTGATGTCCCACCAAATGCAAAGCATCACTTTCTGTGGATGGATTCCAGGTTTTGGGGTTGGAAGTGGTTTTTATCTAGGACTGAGCCATTGTTTTTGGCATTTAATATTCGCACAGAGAATCAGTTTTTAAATCACCGGTGACAATTCTGTCCAAAAATGGTTAACGCACATTACGCAACAGACGAGACAAAGCCACGTTCACACGGAGAGGTCACGCGGCACCCAAATACCTTCTTTATGGAGTTTTCCCATATTTCTTAGATGTTTACGTATTGCTTCATGAGAGACATGCAATTTCAGGGCCATTTCACGAGTGTGTTGCCTAGGATTAGACTCGACAAGCATCGTCAGAGCATCAATACCAATTCCAACATGTTGGCTCCTGCCATCATAGTTTTTAATGCTAAAGTCATCTGAACACAAATTGCTGAACCATCGTTGACGCTTACGAATGTTCAAAATATTTCCATAAACTTCTTTGATATTCTCTGTGGCTATAGAGACTATGTTTCCCTTCTTGTATTCAAGCAGCATTACATGCCAAATGTGTGTTTCATCTTGTGCCATCACTATAAGGGATTAGGGTATACTAAACTTTACTCATTATATAGGTTACACTAACATAATGTTTAGGTGGTTCGTTTAACTATTATATGTGATGTACGTTTTTTGGGGGGTGGTTAATGAAAGTGTTCCAAAAAGTGACATTAATTTCTTCTAATAAATTAAACTTCGGGTTTGTGGCTTATTTTACATGAATAATATATATATTTTTAAAGAGAAACAATTTGGCTTGTGTGAGTTATTAATTTACATATAGTAAATTGTATTCTTAAAATATTGCCAGGTAGCTTTTTTTATAATCCTGATATTTTGCATTCAAAATTTGTAAAAAGGAAAAGTATATTGAGTAACAAAAATATTATTTTATACACCAGATATTAGCAGAGGGAAGCTTAACTACATCTAATGTTGGCTAAGTTTAATGTATTAGTCATGTGATTAAACATTATATTATATACACATGATTGCATAATGGTTTTTGAGTTCAACTTTCAAGTGACGACTAATAATTTGTGCACTAAAATAATTTAAAGTGGGTTAACTTTATGTAGGTATCTAATATGAAATTTAATTATGATTTATAAATTACTTTACCTATCATTTATGTGTTCTTTTTTTTTTTTAATTTCAAGTATGGTTAGTGTGATAATTCCCAAAGTATAAAAAATTGTATTATTAAATTAACATTTACTCACTTCAACCGAGAAATTAACACTTGTGTGCACTTTTCAAGAACTTCATTCTGAAAATTCTTTTTATATTAAAAATACGACTGATAATTTATACATATAACCTTGTAAGAGAAGTTATAGGGGTGCCGAAAAGGAACAACCACCAAACATTCTCGAGAACTTGTACAAAGTAAAACATTTGGAATATATATATATATATATTGTCAAGATAATTCATAGCTTTAGTATACTGATGTTCATTAGTATTATTTACATAATAATTTAAGTAATTCTTAAAAGAAGAATGTTGATTTCTTGGCGTCTGCTATTGTAAAAATGTTTGGGGTTGTTTGTGAACCTAGAGATGAAAATAAATTACATTTTTAGAAAGGGTCTATTTTAATAGTTTTTTGTTTTTTTTCAATTAGTTCATTTTCCATGAAATATTGTGTCTGTGTTTAATATAGACTTGGAATATTGAGTGTATTTTCAACCAAGATTGATTTCTTTTTGACATTTTATTTCCTCATTTAAGCTGATTAAAATAACAGATTGTTTCATTTTCTGGATTTTTTTTGACTTTCAGATAATTCAAATATGTTTAATTAATAAATTTTTCATCACATATACTTTCATTAATCAATTTTAACACCTTGTTTTGTTTCTTTAATATGTATGTACTTTATTTTTAACTTTAAAAGAAACTGATAAAACAACAGTTATCTCTAATTGTTATTAATTTGTCTTTGTCTCTTCTAAATTTAAACATAAACAGTGCACCCCATATAAAAATGACGTTGATTAATTGTAATTTTGAGTGAATGTGATGCCATTTACTGTTATTAATTACAAATAATATATATATATTGACATAATAAGCACTTTCATTTATTTTATTTCTTACTAACACTAGATGTCACTACGGATTGTAGAAATGTATAATAATATCACAATTTGTCATTTAAAAAAGGCTAAAATAAAACATGCTAAATATAACTTTTATTTTACTAGAAAATGTATCATATTAATAGAAAACAGTAATTGCGTTTTCAATATTACTTTGAAGATCATATATTGTGTAAAAACCAAATATATGTAATAAAGAGCTTGTCTTGTAA